CCTTGTACTGTGCAAGAAAAATTACTCACTTTTACACTTATGTTTGATCTAAGAAGCTTCATTGTAAAGCTTGTAGTTGTAGTGCATTATAAAAACAGTACAGTTTAGCCCAGGCCAAGGAGAATGAATAGCTGAAAAAACTCTGTCAGACTTCTATCCACATCTGCCCCTGGGGAATAGTTATTAGCTGAAGGGATGGTGGTTAAAAGAAGTTGAACATACATGTACAATCAAATTCCTAAGTAATATTGTAGTGCAAGAAAAATTAGTCAGTAATCACTAATGTTAGGTAATTGAATTTAAGAAGCTACAAGAACAGTACAATAGTTCACTTTCTAAGGAGTACATGTAATATAATTATATAGTATATGAATAGTAGAGTAAAACCTGCCAGACTTCTCCCCACATCTGCCCCTTGGGTGTAGTTAACTAAAGGGGATTTTTGACAAAAGGAGCATCCAGACAGGCAGGATTCAGACGTGACAAAGGCGCAGTCTCGAACCCAAATCCCGGCGGACACGGGCGTTTCCCTGGGAGACCGTTGCCATGGCAACAAAGCCTTAAACACGGCAACAGAAGCAGGTCTGACAATGTGAGCAGACGTCAGACATGTTCTCCTTCCCAGCCTAGCTTTTGTCTGTCTGACTTTTGTTCCTTAAACTGAGCAGCAGGAGATGAAAGTTTGTCAATAATTGATCATCAGGATGGGAAACGTCAGCCACCTGCACCCAAACTCCTGTACCCATGTCTCAAGAATTTGTGTTAATGTTACAATTTGAATAAAGAATGTTAAATGTACATGTGCAACATATTTTCATTTATTCAATAAAATTTCAACTTTGAAAAAAAGTGAAAACTTTTTTCTGAAAACTTTTTTCCGTTAACATTTTTTTCCTTAAAAATAATTTTTTTCATTAAAAATCTTTTCCTTAAAAAATTTTAAAATATTTAATAAAAAAATTTCCTTAAAAATTTTTTTCTTAAAAAAATTTTTTTCTTAAAATTTTTTTCCTTACAAATTTTTTTTTCCTTAAAAAATCTTTTCCTAAAATTTTTCCTAAAAGATTTTTCCTTAATTTTCCCTAAGAATAATTTTTTTATTAAAAGAAACTCTGTTCTTGAAAATAACTATAATCATGTCCTAAGTAATCTCCTAAGTATCTTAGTATTCCCACCTCTCCTGCTTGTGTATGCTGATGTCTGCATGACGGAGTGAGTGAGTGAGTGAGTAAATGAATACCCCACCTCTCCTGTGTGTGTACGCTGATGTCTGCATGACGACCTCCTGCTGCAGCATCTGCCTCTGCATCAGCACCTGCCTCTCCACGTGCTGCTGCCATAGCAACAGCTGCAGCTCACGCTGCTTCTGCTGCAGCGCCTGGTCCAGTGGGTCAACACGTGGGTCACTGCGTGGGTTGAATGGGTGGGTGCGTGGGTTGCTGGCTTGGCGAGGGTTGCGTTGGTGTGCACGTGGGTCTCTGCGTGGGTTACTGTCTGCGCTGGATGTCGTATTGAGGGTACTATCCGACCCGGGATGTTCGCCCTCCCCGAAACCCTCCGTGTCCAGGATGGCCTGCAGCAGGGTCATGTCACGCCGCGACCTGCACCGCGGCATGCTGGGAAGGGAACAGCAGAAACATTATCTTCATCATCCACATCATCATCATCAACATCTTCTTCATTAACATAACCATCATCATCATCTCCATCATCATTCACATTATCATCAACATCATCGTCAAAACAACCATCATCAAAATCATCATCAACATCCACATCATAATTATCATCATCCATCATTATTAATGATAATGTTGATAATAATATTATCATCATTGTCATCAACATCACCATCATCCTCATCTCACCGCATCATCCACATTATCATAAACATTCTCATCGTCAACGTGATAATGTCATCAACATTATCATAATTATCAAAATTGTCATCTAAACCTCAACCTACCCTGTCAATTGATCCTACTGTAAAGGATCAAAGTCTTATAATAATTAAGATGGGAATAAAGTTTTTGGCATCACGCTGTTACAGACTTACAGATTAATCAGTACAGAATCCATGAGTCCATAACCTGTGACCCTCCACATTTGTACCCATTTGTAACTAATAACTATAACAATAAAAATCCATCTGTTCTGATCTGTTCCTGACTCCTGACTTTGCCGTGATCAAACATAATAATCAGGAATATTGATTTTTCCTGCAGCACAAAAGGCAGTAAAGTAAGTACAAAAGGCAGGTCAGCCGCAGCCAGCAGCAGGCAGCGCAGGAACATCTATTATTCAGCAGAGGATTATATTTTATTCTTAAGACATTTGTTTAAAGAGCTTAAGTGCTTAAGTCAGGTTAACGTTGCTCATATCACCAAGGGTAGTGATGAGAGGGTGGCATATATCTTATATACAGAGTTTTGAATATCAAATTTCACACAGTTTATTTTGGTGAGCCACAACTAAATTTCAATTAACTTCCAGTGTCTTTCGATAGAAAGTCACTAGGACAAAACATTTTTGATATCAAAAATTAGTTTAGCAATCAGGTAAACTGTAAATCCATCTTGGCTGGCAGAAAACCCAAGCTGCTTTTCCATTGATTTACAACTGAAAAGGAGACTGAAATATTTGGTATGTCACAGGTTTATTGTTTTATAACCTGTCCACTGGTCTTTTCTACAGTAAGAATGTTGTTAATGTGCAACTTCAGCCTTTCCTGCTGCCAGTTGAGTGAGTGACAACAGCCGGGATTTGAGCTCTTGACCATCTTGTCCAAAGGCAGTGTTGCTGACCACTGAACCACACACTCTCAGGGGGTTAAGAGTTTGAATCCCGGCCATGTTACATTGCTACAGGCTAACTGAGGGGGTACATGGATGTATGGAGGGCTGTGGATGAAGGGTTTCCGTACACTTGGCTGTTGAAGTGTCTGACTAGAAACAGAACAAACTGGATTCACATCACAGAACAAACAGATCAACAACTCACTTCTGCTGATCATGAAGAGCCTTTTTTTAATAGTGGGTGGATGTGGGTATGGAAATATTTTATCCTGACTATTACTATTATTAGTGACTACTTGTACAGGAATAATAACTTCCCCAAGAAAATCAGACGAACATGAAAACATTGACACAACCTAATTAAGATCAGCTAAAGTTATTCTAAAAGTTAATAATTCCATTTTGATAAAAAATATTAAATCAGGATCTATGAACTTTACGTTGATAGTTAGAAATCCGGGACGCTAGAGAAGGGTGACTTATATCACTCTTGAGTCACTCAAACCGATTAATAAAAGTACATGTTGAATTGCCTTTTAATATATGAACTTCACGTTGAGCAATTATTGTAATTCTAAACTTGTCCTTATGACGACTCGGACTCCATAATTTGAGAGCTTCACCAAAACTTCCCCTTACTTTGTTGTGATATTAAGCAAAGTTAGACGACACCCCTCTAACTCTCTGTGATAGACTAGTCCATATCTGAATATTAAGTAGCTCAGTCTAGTAGAGTAACCCCAGACTCTAGTTCCTTCTCTTTCTGCCTGGACTCCAGACTGAGCACATCCACGTTTGTACCGTTACTAACCCTTCCGGATTAAAGCATCTAAAACGGCAACTCAAGGTCTCTGTCCAAATCCACTGTCGAGTTCAAAGAGTACATCATGGTGTCAGAAGTCCAAGAACCTTGGCTTTCAACCCTCAAGAAGAAGGAAAAGGACAGTTCTCAAGACAAAAGTGCAGTTTTGAAGACAGCATGCCACGAGGTAGGAGAATTCCTATATTCCCTATAGCCTGAAGCAGGCGGTAGCCGTCAAACAGCCAGGAAGTGGCAGGTCAGACGTGCAGGCATTCCAGACAGAGCGTCTACATCTGAGCCTTGCTAACCCTGAACTCTGAACTCTAGACAAGTGTGATAATTGGAAAAACAAGCTCAGGCAAGCTCAAGCAGCTGCAGCTTTGTAAAAGTTTGACAAGTTGAAAACAAGCCTAAAAGATGGCGGAAGGTCACAGTTTGAGGGCACCAGGGCCGCTCGATGTAAATTCCAGAAACCTAAGCCTAACGTGGAAAAGATGGAAGGAAGAAATACAATTATATATTGATCTAGCAGTGGAAGACGATGCTGCTAAGAGAAGAAAGACCCTTCTATACTTAATGGGTGAAAATGCACGGAAAGTGTATGGCACCTTGACATTTGTGAATGCTGAGAATGCGCCAATTGCAGAGAAAGACCGAACAGCAGAGCAGATTGTAGCTGCGTTCGAGACATACTGCAACCCAAAGAAGAATGAGACTGTCGAAAGGTACAAATTCTTCACCAGAGGACAGAGTAGTGGAGAAACATTTGATGAATATGTCACAGATCTGAGAACCCTAGCTTCAGAATGTGGTTTCGGGGATATAAGAGAGTCCCTGATCAGAGACAGGATACTATGTGGTATTCTGGACGGCAAAGTTCGCGAGCGACTGCTGAGGGAGAGCAACCTTAGTCTTGCAAAGTGCGAAGCTATCTGCCGAGCTGCGGAAGTATCAAAACAGAGCATCCAAGCGATGGAGCAAACCGCAGTGCATATGGTTAGGAAGAATCCGAGGTCATGGAAAGGAGACCCCAAGAGAAAGGGTACGACTCCACGGACCAGGACATACCGAGCCACTCAAGGAAGTAGGGCATGTGACAAATGTGGCAGGAGCCACATGTCATCGGAAACCTGTCCAGCAAACGGGCAAAGCTGTAGAAAGTGCGGCAAGAGGAACCACTTCGCAGCAGTTTGCAGGTCGAAGAAGCCTACAGTGCAAGAAGTCAGGACCGTGAGTGAGAACCTAGAAGAGTTCCACATCGAAACGGTGAGCAAGACGCACACAGTAGGTGACCAGGCCTTCGTAGATCTCCATGTCGAGGAGATGAGCAGAAGTCTCAGGTGCAAGTTAGACACCGGAGCCCAAGTAAACGTGTTGCCAGAGAAAGTATGGCAACAGTTGAAACACAAGCGTGTGATGCCAGCGACGACTCGTCTCTATGGCTATGGTAACGTTCCCTTAGAGGTGAGAGGGAAGTGCCGTCTCACGTGCAGTTACAAAGGAAAATCTGGCGTCTTGGAGTTCTACATCGTGAGAGCCGACGCAGCGCCAGTACTAAGCCTTAAAGCGTGTCTGTCCCTTCAACTCATAAAGCTAGTGTTGACAGTGCAAGAGACACAGACAGCCCAGAGCATTCTAGAAGAGTACAAAGACGTCTTCGAGGGAATCGGGCAGCTTCCAGGCGAACACACGATCCAGCTCGACCACAGTGTACCGCCAAAGGTCCACCCGCCAAGAAGAATTCCTGTATCACTGAGGGATCCGCTCAAGGCAGAGCTCGACAGAATGGAACGACTCGGAGTGATAAGGAAAGTGGACGAACCGACGGACTGGGTAAACTCCCTTGTGGTGGTCGAGAAGC